AGCTTACTTAAAGTAAAAGAGTCACTTAATGCCTGGATTTGGACTACCCCTTAACTTTTTCATTCAAGTTCGGACACAGTCGCACCGTCCTCCTCCCTTAACTGTCAGTACCGTAAAATTTGTGTCTCAAGAATGGAAATCAACCTAGCTGTTTGATATTCTATCAATAATCCTTTCTTTTCTACAGTACGCAGTATATTCCACCTCAAACAACTTTTAAAGATTTAGTCATCATGACTGGCTTTACCATTTGTATATGCATAACAGATGTAGAGATACGCTGTAGAAATTATAACACGGGATTGCACATTGTGAGCTGTTGATTTCACACTATTCGAGACCTTTCAAGAAAACGGTCCAATTTCCACGTTAGTTTATGCTTCTGCAGTACTTGTTTCTTATTACACTTCACGTGGAAACATGGTCCTTCTGCGGAAAGGTATCTTTACTAGTGCCTGTCTAAATTACCCATGACTGCAGCGCAATAAGGGTCTGACCTACACAAATTTTGCCCATTGTTTTTGTCGGAAAGGATTATGTCAACAACTCCTATTCCCATCTTCAGATCGATGCTTTGCTCGAAAGCTCAATTTCGGTGCAACAAAATGTCCGTTAGAGCGTCACAACATCTCGCGCTGGTCATATCTGCCCGACCTCCAACAGTGCGTGCTCTTCTCCGACTGCCACCCTCCAGACATACCCATCTCGTCTGCCTGGGGAAATAACTTCGAGAGCAAGGAATTGTGCGAAGCCACCTGCATGCCCAAGGGGCTAAAGGGTACGGGGCCATTCGTACCCCAATTAAAATTCATTTTCCCCTTTCATGAAACGGTCTTCTGTAGACTTATCTATTTAATCGGTACCTTTACAAGTAATTGCTATGTTCCTCAATCAAAAGTTGTGTCACTTATCAAGACTTCCTACACGAAATATATATCATAGATCGCATCATATTCGACCTTTAATCACGTGTTTTAGTGACGTCTTAAAGTACTGTAGGACCTTATAATAATCCCAGTGAACATTTGCTTGCTGGCATCGCATGAATATGAGTTACCTCACTAAAATTAAAAAAAACTGCTCTGTGAACTTTACCACTGTACATCAGTAAACTTTAAGCGCTAACGATTCTTTCTGGTGCGTACCAGTGAATCACACGACAGCTTGTGGAATGTAGGAGGTTTTAGTGACAAAGTTACGAGATGTGGCATTTTGTTTCCGTTCAGTACCTCAAATATCACATAATGTAAAAAAAGGTAAGTGCTTGTGATAGATGAAAGGTCTTTTTTGTTCTTGATGTCTACCAACACTTTTCGGTACCTTGTTTTCCGACCAATCATATTTTGAACTAATTGAAGTACTTGTGCTCTGACTTGACACCGTCCTCACTTTCGGCTAGACGTCTGCCGGTTGCCAAGGGATACCGGTCCCTGTTCTGGGAGCTACGCGCGCTACTACTACGATCCTGTAGAAGGAGGGTGTCGTCTTTTCATGTATGGTGGCTGTCTCGGGAATGGAAATCGTTTCAACACAAAGGCGGAGTGTGAAGATGCGTGTGGAACACTGGGCGAGATCTACGACACCGGAACCTCTCTTACCAAGACAAGTGACGTGGTGTCCACACAGGCTGAGAAAGTTCCACCCGTTCCCGCTGAGGTCTTTGAAGAAATGCGACGCATCAAGATTATGTATTCAGAGAGATATCGTGAGTTGGTCTTCTGTATTTTTCGATCGGCAGTCGTGTTTGACGAATTGTACAATAATTGTTGGTGTATTGAAGTATGTGAATGTTGAGTACTATATTCATCAATTGTTCTGTAGGCCATAGACTTTGTCATTGATACACCGTGTTCAGCCGGATTGTTCAAATCTAAGTGGTATGTATCTTCCCATTAGCATGGGACTTTTGTCTGCAACATCACACCTACGGGACATGTCCGCGGCCCAGACGTTTCCATAACGGGATTACTGATCATGGAGTCCATCTTACCCGTTACTTCTACAACCGAAAGACGAAACACTGTGAGCCCTACTTTTACACTGGTTGTGGTGCTCGAGGTAATCACTTCGAGACAAAATTGCAGTGCGATAACGTTTGCACCCGCAGACTACGCCGGTCAAGTACGTTTAATGTTCACTTCTTAGAAGCATTTAAAACTATAGTTTCATGGTCTACTCATTTGCATCATAAAACAAAAAATAACTACTTGGTCCGCAAGACATGTTACTCAAATAATTTTTTACGCTTATAGACGTACATTTCAAACTTTTCTACATTTTGCTATTTATTTACGGCTAAGCTCCTATTTTCTGCAATATTGCCAAAAAGAACGCACAACAATGTGCGCCTTTAGTTTTGGTAACACTTGCATTACAAGTTAGCTAGCTGATTATACGCGCGGTTATGCATCTGTATGTACTGCAGTATCACCTATATGCGATGCAAGCAATGTGAAAGAATGTCCAGGAAGCGGACTCCGTCTTTGGATTTACGAGGCAGAGGCGGGCACTTGCCGTCAAGTGGAGGTTTGCTCTAACACGAAGCCCGCCTCTATGTCCTTCCGACTTCCACTAGGTGTGACGAACGACGTCTTTAAATTGCAGCCAGGCATCGGAGACGCTAGTGGCATCAACAGCTACCTACTACCAGGCACATTCGCCTCTAGCTCTGCCTGCTACAACTACTGCCTCCCCCCGACTCCCAGTGGTACCGATGTCACCAGTAGGTCTCGCTGTCTTTGATGCCCCTTAAGTGAATTTAGCCATCTACATTTAACTGCATCAGTGATTGCTGAAACCAATTCAATCAGTTATTGCGCTTTTCTCAAAAATTACTAGACTGTTAGTCGACATAATGGCGAATTTGGTGCCAAATAATACTTGATGACACAACTCAAATTATGTAATGTAAAAGACTGACACACAAGGCTATCAGAGTTGTTTTAAGGAGATGAAAGTTCTGAATACCCCGAGGTATCTTAAACGTACACAGGTGCAATGTCCTAATAAACATTGCTTCAAGCAAACGGATCACCATTAGTCAGCTTCTCTAGTCTCATACAAGGAGTTTTCCCACTATTCCTTATCACGATTGGATAGGTTTGATAATACAACCAGAATTCAAAATAGCTTAAACATCTCCTTTGCAAGGCCATACCATCGGCTAGACACACTCCATTTAATGCCCATTAATGACCATAATTTCAAGTGTAATATGCTTATTTAATGACCTCACTTTCTGTTTTAACAAAAACATCTCTTTTTCCAAAAGAACGACATATTTTGCTGTTCTAACTATTTGCTTTGTTCAAAACGAAATGACAGATATCTGTCACATCGATCCGATCACCTCGGTTTCGAATGAGTGTCGTATGATGGGCAGGAGGTGGTATTTCGACGTGAAAGACGGCTACTGCCGCAGCTACATCTCCTGTCCGGTGTACGGCAATAACTTTGCCGATGAGGAAACCTGCAACTCCGCCTGTCGGCCAAAGCATATTTCTGGTAGGTCAACTCTGCGTTCTCAGCTTGGACATGCATTGCTCTCTTGCTCGCAACTCCGTTAGTGCCATGTTTAAGAGAATCGGTTTAGCTTGTTGAGTTGAAAGGCACCCTCGAATCTTGACAGTTTCCGCGCAGTTATTACAACAGTGACAATTTTCACAAATTAAACAACTTTGTGTGCTTACGTATCAAAAGTGCGATTCCTTCCCCAAACTCTAGGAGGGGTTATTCCCTCTTAATGCCAACCCGCTTCAGTATATACGAACACTAAATAACCTAGCTAACATCAGCTCTTGCTGTGAAATTGCTAAACCGCCTTTCTGAGTTGGTTAAAGTAAGTTCCAAATGATTAATCTTTT